CACACACACACACACACACACACACACATGCCAAACGACTTAGGCCTGCATTTGTTGTGCCCATGCTTGGATCAAGCTTTTCCAGTGTGACTGTGTCCCTGCTTGGCCTCATTTTCCACTGCTGCAGACAAAGCACCACAGAGCAAATCCAAAGACATTATTTCAAAACTGTAAATATCTCTTCCAAGTTAAACACAGGGTCACAGCAGTTCCTGCAGGGAAACATATTTAACCTCTCAGGGCACTTTTCTCTTCAGCCGAGCTGCAACAAATGGGATGGGTAATGTGATCCATGGGAAAGTATCATGTTGGATCAGGGTGAGGTCTCTCAGGATACAGTGTGCAGGCTTTGTCTTGCTGGAATATGTCCCCTTTCCACTCAGAAGGCAGAACAGGTTCTAGTCCATGCTCTTGTCATATCAGGCCTAAACGATTGCACTGCAAAAAAAGTTAGGTTGCACTTAAATGTTGCACTTTGTTGTTTACTTTTTTGAAGCTAATGTACGTTCATGATTCCTGCTATTCTGGGTTTGTATCCACATGGTTAAATGCACTTATTGGAAGTCACATTGGATAAAAGCGTCATCTAAATGATATTAATGTAATGGAATAAAATGCAAAGGCAGTTTTCTTGGTTTAGATTGAAAATGGGACGAAAAATGCATCAGCCAGAAGAACCCCATGTGTATTTCTTTACAAGCAATAAGATGCTTTCTTTCCAAGAAAAGAGGACATTTGGATTTCTAGTGACCACCAAATGTTGAACAAACATCAGTATGATAAACAAATACCTAAGATGACCAAGTACATTTTATTCATTGTATTACTGACTTTTTTGTTTGGTCCCTGTCCCATTTACAAACGTTAAGGAGACAGGATTTTTGATCGAGAGGATTTGGCTTTACCTTTGGGGAGCTGGCGTGTCGTCCATCTATGAGGAGAAATGCTTCATTTAAAAGTAGCATAGTCATAGAACTGTGTGAATATGCAAAGATGTATGCAAACTTTTAGGAGCACAACATTGTCAGTGAGCTGATCAAGTTTTCAAGCAAAAATCTATCTAAGCAAACATTTGCTAACATTAGCCTTTTGCTACTGGTCATGTTGGATCTAGTGAGACTTTGACTGCTAAATGTTTATGTATTATTGACCACACTTGTTATTTTATTGCAAATGCATATAACTTTTTCCACTTGAAGACATTATTTTTTCTTTTACAATTTTAAATTAATCATTCATTCACATTCAATTCAGCTAACATTAGCTCACTTTCTCCACAATGAGCCACCGGTATAATATGACGAGCTCAAGTAAAGCTCTATTAGTAAAATGCCTGGTCTCATGTCATCTTCTTTCTGTTTATAGCTGATGGAACCAACTTCAAGTGTTCTCTGTCAGTCTTTTAATATTTCACCATATCCTTCCTCTTGTGAAAAATTGGCTGGTCAGACCGACCATATTTTTACTGGCAGTGATATTTCAACATGAACAAAACCTTTTGCAACAAACCACTTAATCTTTGCTCTGAAGGCATTACGATTTGATTTTATTGCCACGAGCACAAAGTCGAGCTGAGCCCACACTGTCACCTGAATTACAACAACACAACTTAAATCAGCCCATGTAATTTGATCTAATCTGATCTGGCATACATTGTTTTGCACATTACTGTGCAATTTTTGAGGTCATGGTTTTCCCACAAGTTTAATAATGCACTCAGGACGATCCCTCTTAGAGGATAGTGTGTGTTTGTGTGTGTGTGTTTGGCGTATACAGACAAATAGGTGTGTAGTTCTGATACAATGTAAGTAAATGTTTGAGTAAGGGTATGTGTCAGGTGTGTGCACTTCTGCAACTTGTCTTGAAGTATGTGTGAAAGTGAAAAGATGGTAGTGTGTGATGAGGCTCAGACACAGGTGGGGATTCAGATAAGCAGTGCTGTGTGCATACTGCATATGTACAGTATACTGGAGGCTTCATGGTATGTGTGCTCAGCTAAAATGGGATCATATAGATGCTCAGCCTCCCGCCAGAGCAAGAGACGCTTTGCAAATACAGACCTGGGTCAGAGAATTTGAGAAACCCTCAGGTACTGAGCGGGGAAACCTCTGGTGGGCCGTGTGAGAAGAGCTGTTTGTTTGACCACACATGAGGAATCTTGTGTGTGTTTTCTTTTAGCAGCCAGGCTATATGTGAGTCCATATTAAAAGAAGTTAAAACTGTCACTTTGAAGCATCGTCATTGATGGTCAGTACAGAGGAAGGGTGTCACTTTGATACAGCAGTGTGCAGGACACTGTGGTTAAAATACAGCAGAGTCACCGGAGACACACACACACACACACACAGTAGCGACAGTGAATTAGATATAATGAAACATGACATACATAAAAACACAACATATAGATACAACTTGTAAAGTTTTTCCTGTATTCTTCACATCATGATATATTGATATCAGTTTGTTATACTTGTAAGTCAACTTAACACTATTTTACTCTTACTGGTGTTAAAAGTATTTTTTCACATATTTACACACAGACACACACACACACACACACACACACACAAGTGAAAAAGATTTTTAAAAAACTTCTGGTTTATACACATCAGTTGAAAACTAGCAGTAAAATACACAATGAAGTACAGTAACCTTTGCAAATGTCACCCACCTCTTGCCAAATATCATTTCAATAATTTACAATTCAACTGCCCAGTTTTTTTCCCAGTCAAATCATTTTATGATCCACAACTTCCGTGTACAGTGAATAACAAGACACACTGAGTCTATAACGTGCTCACAAAGTAAATATACACATTTTGACTTGTGATCAGTGAACTTGTCCTGTGTGAGCTGCCCTGATAAGACAGGGGGACACAGCAGGGGACACAGCGAGGGACACAGCGAGGGACAGTGTGTGTGTTTACCGACCCTCCTGTGCAACGTGTTACAGACCGTGAGTGTAAACTTCAGGGCAGATGTGACGACGACGAGGGCCCGGCTGTGAAACGCCCCCCAGGAGGGCGGGTGCTACATGGTGTGAATGGCACGTTAGAAGGGGGCGGGGCCGTTGTGAAAATTACTACATCCACCCTGAGTGAGTGTTCGCACTCACACGACGACCGCACCGGACGAGACCCCTGCCGCTGAACACCTTTCTTCACTGCACCTCTTCTTCTTCAGACCCGATCCGATCCGATCTGATCCTTTCCGTGCCATGGCCAAAGGAGAAGGAGGAGAACAATACTCCAACACCAGTTTGTTGAATAAACCGCTCAACTCGGATGGCGTCCAGCTCGCCAAGAAGGTGGGTCCATTCATTTTAACGTTCATTTCTTATTCCGGGCTTCTTTTCATTTAAATCAGAACCATCGAGGAGGAGAGGCTGCTGCTTATTTCCCCTTTCCTCTGTTAAACAGAATAATGCTGTGGACGGAAGGAGCACACCGGTCCAGTGAGATTTTAAAGCAGTGACTCAAAGCGCGCCTTGCTCATTGTCATATTTCGACACAGGAGTGGCCAAATAAATCACCCAATTAATACAAATAAACCTCCCAAAAATAAAAATAAATCACTGTTAAATTCACTATATCAGCTTCTGTGGTCATTCACCAAGAGGCATAATTCAAAAAATCATATTAAACTATATATATATTTTCATTGTTCAGTGAAATTACTTTTCAATCCTATTTTTTTTTTTATTATCTACAGACAATAATCATTTATATTTTTTCGATGCACTCATTCACCCAGACACTGAGCTAAATTTAAACCATGAACATGCCACTGCCCCCCCAATAGGTTCATATTGATCGTATGTCTTATCGCGTGCATGTCTGCGTGGCTCACCACAGTGCACAGTGCATATAATATATATGTATTTGTGTGTGTGTGTGTGTGTATATTTGTATAAATATATATATATAATCACATATTGGAGTTTCTCATCGTGGTAAATCTGTGTCTCATGAAAGTAATGGCATGGAACTAAAAGCTGTGCCTCTATCACACACAGGGCAGGGTGTTGCCTCCACCACGAGATATCTAGGCTACATCCTTTATATCATTTAATGTGGAACACATAATGATGCGTTCACGGGCTTCTATAAAACCTCCCACCGCCTTAGACAAGGGACTGCACTTCTGTCATCTGTTTGCATATGTTAATTATAACAACGTATTAAAGATGAGAAGATTATATTTTATCAGAAATAACGTGACGTGTTTTTTTTACTGTCATACAAAATAAGGAGGATTAAAAAAAAAATGCATCAGCATCTTAATTCATTGATATATTAGTGGATTGTTGGGGAAAAACAGTGATCACGGGTTTTCGCGTGTTTTTATTTCACAAGAGTCAAATTGCATTTTAAACGAGTGTCAAAGGAAATCCCCTATTAATGTGACATTTCGAGTGCAGTTGTGTGAAAATCCTGCGCAGTTCCTGTATTTCCCATGGCCCCGAATGCAGCAGCAAACAGCCACCAAGGCGACGTGTCAGATAATGAGGGATCAGATCAGAGGAGCAGTTCTGAAAAATCTTAGCCATCTAACATCTGTCTTTGTGGACCACTCTCTTAACATGTTGCAGGTGGAATCCAAAATACATTTCTAATATTCTGGGGAAAAATAAAACAGACCCACCCACTCCTCCTGCCACTGACTGGCTGAAGCATGTTAACTGTTTATGGTACAAACATATTATCAGGAGGAGCTGGAGTGGTGGCATTTGAGGTGTTCTGTCAGTTTTACAAAACACTGATGACCACACTCATTGACTATATGGAATGAGAGGAATATTTATTTTTCTGAATACAACATACACATGGCTCCTTATGATCCATACTGCCAAGTGTATAGTTTCAAAGCTGTGTGAGCATGAATATGCTGTCACATTACTGTGACGGTTGCATTAAAAATGAAGCTGCACCCTCACTGCATTGTCTGTTCAAAACCAGGATGAGAAAACATGAATACTCTTGTACATACTAGTGGAACAGGTGTTGGAGAATATCAGCCTGATGTCATTTGGTCACAAGCCTTAGTCAGGCGCAGAGGGTCTTTAGTGACCACTCCTTCCCCGGCTTTACAGCTTTATTACTGAGTTTAAGAGGGAATGTGTAAAAGTCACATGGCGGGTGTAAAGTTTGATCCATGAGACCCTGCACTCACCACCACAGAGACTCGACCTAAATCCCCAGATCGACCCAAGTCCTGCAAGGCCAGCAGCCATTGCGTTCCGCCACAACAGTTCCAATAATTGCTCCTGTGTGTTTGAAGATGCTGTTGGTGGCTGCTCATTTCAGCCAAGAGCGTATTTTATCACCTAAACAAATCCATGGCTGGGTGCTTCAACAAGATAAGAGGCTGTTTTATTCCGTTGCAGTCATAGGGACGTTTTGTGTTCTGGTCAGATCCGAGGCGAGACAGTGCCCATTTTCTTGTCCTGAGCTTCATTGACAACAAATACTGATTATGTTCCTGCAGTTCAAGGACATTTTGCACAAACTGAACTTGAAACAGATCTTCTGTTTTGTGTGGGGCTATTAACAGAAGCAGTCAAATTCTTTGACCACTTGAAGAGAGGGCAGACTAGGCAGCGCCAAACACAATCTTTTGATTGGTCAGGGAGGAGGGTGTGTTTTCTCTGTGGGCAACGGTGGTCAGAACACTGGTCAGGCTGGCAGACATCCATTTCAGTGCTAAGTCAGTCCAGGCCGCTGCCAAGGGGCTGTCGATCTGGCGTTGGGTGTGTGTGAGTGGCACCATGGTGTTGTCATGTCCTGGATCTAATCACCAGTGATTTGTGTGGCCATTAAGAGTTGTTTAGAGTCTTGACTGTGGAGGAAATTATTACATGTACAGTGAGGAAGAAAGAGCTCTTGTTAGGAAACCAAGGGTTTCTTGTTTCCCAGTGGCTTCCCCGGACTCCTGCCAAATATGCTGCATGATGGTTAGCTTTCTGCCTCCTGCACTTTCCTGGCTCCTTAAGACTCTTGCTGATTAAAAATTCAGGGCACATTCTTTATGAGGCACTTACAAATGTATTATTGTCTTAATTGGACTAGTGAGACATAATTGGGAGAAAAGTTGGAAGGAACTGCAGGTGGAGGATAGTAGTTCAGATAAAAATTGAGAAAGTTGTTTATTTCTAAGCCAGGGGAGTATGTATGGGGCATGCAGAATGAGTATAAGTGGCATAGACTTTGCCAAACCCAGCTGCAAACAACTTTGGATACTTTCTCCTAAAGTAAGCTAATGCATATGCATGGGGTGTTTGTTTGTTGGGCATTGCCTTTACAGTAAAAAGTCAGATTTCACGTTTACACAAAATATCCTCATCATTGATTAACTCTGTATTTTCTGTTCTTTCTTTTTCTCCTCAGTATGAGCACAAGGACAAGTTGTCAATCTGCAACAAGTTGAGCTATGCTATCGGTGGCGCACCCTACCAGATCACTGGATGTGCCCTGGGCTTCTTTCTGCAGATTTATCTTCTGGATGTTGCTCAGGTGAGTTGCTCAAGGTTATTTGAAAACTTCCCTTAGTGTTATAATATAGTCCTAAAATAAAGGCCTGCCCTGCTGTTCTTAAAAGACTTCTGTACTGTGTTTGTAAAGTTTGAAGAGGTGGAAAAGATTTCGCTCTTCTTTCCATAATTATCTCCATGATTGGGCTCTACAGTATAAAAAGGCTTAGAAGGGTTAGTTCTGAAAAATGCAGGGGAGGGGGGCGATGATGAGCGGCTCGCTTTAATAGGCTCTGACACTAATCTGATGGTTAAGGCCAAAATAATGTGTAAGTCAACAGTCTCCCGCAGTTAAGCTTTGTCTGGCCACCAAGACTGTTGATTAAGAGTATATTGGGTGACTCAGCATGGTGCAGATTGTACAGTCAGGAGTACAGCACTCATGCTGCGGGTTGAACAGCAGACAAGGTTAAGTTTACAACAGTTACACTAATCTTTGTGTCCTCCACTTTGACAGCTGGATCCCTTCTATGCCTCCATCATTTTGTTCGGTGGCCGAGCATGGGACGCAGTGACGGACCCCACAGTGGGATTCCTGGTCTCCCGGAGCCCATGGACACGTTTCGGGCGCATGTTGCCCTGGTAGGTTTCCTCAACAGATTTATACAATAACTGCATGTGCATTATTAATGTTTTTTTATTTTTATAGCACTTTCCTCCTCTAGCTGTATTATGCAGGTTTTGTTGCTAAAGCCCACTGGTGTCATTAGAGCTCCCTGAGTTACAAACATGCTTTTTTTTTAATGAATGTGTGGGGCTGCTCTTATCTTCACTGAGTCAGACCTCAAGTTGGAATTTTTCCAGCAATACACTGACCATGTGACAGTGCTTAGGGGCACGGCTTTGTGGCACTCTGCAGATTCATCTCTCTGGAGGGGTTAATATAGGTCATGCTATGGCAATTACTACTGTAACACTTCCTTGTTGCCCACATGTGTATACAGTATGTTCACTCATGCTCTCTCCCTCCTCTCTTCATTGTGTCACTCACACAAACTCACACACAGCTGCTGTCATACATGCTGGGATTCAAATAATCAACTGAAAAGTGACTCCAGTTAAATGGTCCAGGGAGCGTCTCTAAGGCCAGAAGTCAAAGACTTTTTCTGTGTCTTTTAACAAACAAATACAAGCAGTCCCTGCAGCAAGCGTGGCCTCTGGCATGGCTTTGACAAATATAACTGCTGCCTGCTACTGAGCGTTATTCTTGAAGGAAACAAAGAATCTTCCTGGAGGATTTCCACAGCTGTTTGACATTTTGATGGTTCCAAATGAAATCTCAAGATAGTCTTTGATTCAGACAAAAGAAAATCACGGAACTTTCTGGGAAATCTCATAATACGCAGCAGGGCCCGGACCATAATTGCCTGTGGCTTGGTGTGGCAGTCACGCTGTGGAAGCGGGCAGCCTGTGATGCCTCAGTCTTTTTTCACGAAAAGGTTACTGACCCTTTTCTTTTCAGCCACCATATCCCCTCCCCCCACGTCTCTGCATCTGAGCAACCAAGTAGAGTTCAACATCTAAATATCAGACTGTGCCTTTTTTCCTTCACTATGGTTCATTCGGCACCCAACACTGCCAACCCCCCTGGAACTCTCAGTCCAGGTTCAAGGGGTATATGTCACACGGTTACATAGGTCTGGTGTAGGGTGTCGGCCTGAGCAGCTGGTTAAAGTGGCTGCCAGTCTTGTCAGCACTGTAGATGTTGTATTGCTTCCTTCAGCAGTAGATGGGAACATGCAGTACGTCAAGAAGTGATTGAAAATAGTCACGTGGAAACAAAAGCGACACTTTCACAGGATGAATGAAAGGTTGGAGGGTCTAGGTGTGGCGCTACACCAGCTTATGTGCAATCTCATCTGCTTGATTGACAATTTCATCGTCCTTGTTGCTTAAGAAACCTTGTGTACTCAAATGAGCCATAACGATCCCTGGTGATTCACCTCAGTTTCCTGTGGTAATATTCCCTTGTGGGCGACTACAGTGAGAACACCGGCATAATTAATTTAGATCAAAAAAGAATGATCATTCTGTTTTGGTTAGCACTTCCTGTGACGTGTCGGAAATGTACTAATTTGGAAATGGAATGAAGTTATGGCAGCTATGGAAAATATATTCAAATGACTTTCTCTGATCCTGCTGGAGGATTATAAATTGATGATAAAGGCTTTTGCAACATATGAGCAATTTTGGTGTTTTCAAAATCAAAAGCAATCCTCTGCCTTATATTAACCATTGTATATCTAACTTTTAAAATATCCCTACATGCTAGCAGGAATATTCTGGATTTTTGGTGTGACTGCAAAGCTTTAATGTAATTTTTAAACTAAGAAAGTGCCACTGTCTTTTCTGAATGCATAATCTAATGTCTAAAATTCTAAATAAGTGTATTGAGCTTTGATGTATACAGTAAATTAAGATCGATCAAGCTCAATTAACTTGACGTCTTGATATCATGTGATGTCTTTACTTTAATTTTCACCCAGCTCTGAGACAGAGCATCTCGCCCTTTTGTTGTCAAATGAGGTGTGGTGGTGATGGTGGTGGTGACGATGGTGGGATGGGTGCAGGATAAGATGGAGGAATGACTGGTATGTTGGGTCTCTCCGTAGACTTCATAGGTCTCATCACACCCACTTCGGCTTCTGAGAAGCAAGGGAATGAGTAAAAGGAGCTGGAGTAGCTGCATTTCAGAAATCTGTGTTTAGGAAGAGGGGGAGGGGAGAGCAGTCAAGCTGGCTCCTCATTGGTCCATCCCGAACACACCACAGGCCTCGGCCAATAGCGGCGGCTCAGACAGGCCTGTCAGGATTTTTTAAAGAGTGGCTGTGGAATTCAGTGGGGTTACTCCAGTTCAAGGTGTGGGAGCAGAATGAATCTCACTGTTGCTGCCGGAGCGATCACAAGTGATGAGCTGCAGCGTTCTGCCTCTCACTTTTATAGGCATCTATTGTCAGAAATTTAATGCAGAGTAATCCTCATGATGTTTTCACTAGTGTGTTTCATCTAAATTGTATGAATTGTAGTTTTCTTTCCCCCAGAAAAGGCCCTTTATATTCAAATACTTTATATTTATGCCATGTTTTTTACATTAGTCCAGACTGGACAAACTAAACACCTTTTGAGTTTTTATGACAATTTCTTTTTCATGTTTGGAAGGAGAGGGTGAGGTGAGGGGTGTTCAGCTGCAACATGCAATTTTACCACTAGATTTCACAAAAGTGTCTTTCTTCAAAATTCTATTGCCACTTCCACCAATAAAGAACTGACGTCTGTGTTGGCCAACTTACATTTAAAACTGGTAAGTATGTGGGTGTGGGTGTTCCAAATTATTCAATTCATTTTCTCCGAAATGTAGGCTTTTCTCAGATTTCTTAAGTTAGCGTTGAAACCGTGACATCAAGGCATCGGAACCAAATGTTATGCAAATTTCCTCTTTCATTGCATCTGCTCACACACATGCAATCGTAATGGCTGCCGGAAGAGTGAACTCAGGTTTCACAGTCTTGTTAACTCACCCCTCCCGAGTCAGTACGGCTATTTCAGATGACATATGAATATGATTCCAGTTGCGAAGACTGGACAGAACATATATAGCCTCCTGTGTCGCTGCAGACCTGCAAGCCCCGTGCACAATCTTAGCTCAGCCTTGCAAACTGTTTTAAGAACTGCATGTACTGAGGAAGATGGGACTTGCAAGTTTATTTTAAACAGCCGTTCAGTCTTGTCGCAATCATGTTTGAGGATGTCTGTGTGAAAGTAGAGTATGCAAGCAAATGAAAGCAATTTTTTCACAGATAGATTGATTATGAGCAGGATCTAGCATGTTTAATCTGGTATATGTTCAACTCTTGAGGCACAGAGGAATTAAGCAGTGAAAGAGAGCGCAATGCAAAGTGTTGTGTTATCACCGGATAAACATATGCTTTAACTTGCATTCCACTCACAGGACACACCCAAACTCACTGCCAACTAAGTGCACAGTTAATCACATCACATGCATGATAGAGCTCATTGAACGCTGCACCTCCTCATGGCGCCTCTCTTTACAGCTCATGCTGTTCCTCTAAATTTTAAGTCCATTGAGTTGATCAGCTGCGAGTTCTGCTTCTGAGCCCTGGATGGTTGACAGGGCCGTGGCAAGAAGCTGCGTCACTGTATTTATACACGGCAATGTCACGCAATCCGTACAAGGAGCATGATTTCACATCCTGTCAGATAAGGATGAATCACCCAATGGACGTAGTTAAATTTCCCCCCCTGGAATAGATGGAAAAACCAATCGCCTCGATTGGCTTTATCATGTCCGCTCTCCCATTCTTTTTTTTCGGAAAATGACCTCATGGGGAATTTGTGTAAGGAAGCAGGGGAGGTGGAGTACACAATGGCACGGATGTGTTTAAATATGTAAAACATGTTCTTAGTCACATGAGCAGTTGAAACCCTTCTCTTACACTCCCTCAGACTCAGAGAGCATCAATCATGCAACAGAAGCAGTTTGTTTTGCAGCAATCTCCAACTTTATCCTCTCATAACCTTCATATCCAGCCACACTTCTGCTCCAGCTCCAGCCTCCTTCACTTATGTGAACACCAGGGCCGTGATATGTGAGAAAAAGTAAACTGAACGTCCACTCCCCGCTGAGGACAAATTGGCACGGACTGAATGAAGCACGCAATCAAAGGGGCCACAATTTGTTATGCAACACGTGGCCCCTCTCTTCATGTTTGTTTACAGAGTGAAAAGCATGTCACGCTGGAGTAGGATCACGTTTTCATCCACTGATGTTGTTGTTGTTGTCTCCTCTTGCCCCCCCCCCATCTCTCCCCTTTGTCCATGTGCAGGATCCTCCTCTCAACCCCACTGGCTGTGCTCTCCTACTTCCTTATTTGGTACGTTCCTCCCTTTGAGAATGGCAAAGTCATCTGGTACCTTTTCTTCTACTGCCTCTTCCAGACCCTTCAAACTGTGAGTAACACAAACACACACACACACACCTGTACCATATGTCCAGTACAAGGTTATAGAAAATACACCTTCAGTGGCTCCCTAAAAAAAGTATTATTCTATTGTTATTATGTAGAACATAACCTTGAACTACCTTAAATAGTGCAGTGCCTGTTCTAAACCTGCCTGTATATAATGGGCTGTTTTCGTGGTTTTCTTTCCGAAACTTTAAAAGTGACCTGTAATTGAGTCAAGACAACAAAAGACCTGCTGTAGGATCCTAAACCCTCTCCACCACCGCTGCACAAAGAGTTGTTTGTCTGTTTTTTCAAAGTTCAGTGAAGCTCGATTCAGTGCGCAGAGCCCCAAAGATGGAGAATCAGTTGTCGTGAGCGCGCCCGTTGCTGAGATCGACAACATCTCTTACGTCGAGAGCAGAGCTTTGGTCACCTGTTTATTAATATTGAATATATCGAACGTTGATATCGTACCACATTATTGCAGATAAGATGAAAGGTTCTTAAATATGTGAGCCACAGCAGATAGATAGAGATTTCTGGAATTATTAGATGGATAGATAGATAAATATAGTGTCATGTTTTTCTCTTTTATTATCACATAATGAAGTGATCTTGCCTGAATACACACAGTTTGCCAGGAAATCCTTTCATTTCACAATAATCGAAAACAAGCATCGACTTACAGCCTGGAGGATGTTGGCTTAGCTAAAGAATTGAAAACAGAAGGGAATCTGCTTCTTATTTATGTCTCTGCACAATTTCCTGATGTGTCGCACATCTACTTTGACTTGTTTTGACCAAAAGTGAACCAAAGGGCTGCGTTCATTTGCTGAATTCTTTTCCTTTTTCTTTGCCTTCAGTGCTTCCATGTGCCATACTCTGCCCTCACCATGTTCATCAGCTCTGAGCAGAAGGAGAGAGACTCTGCCACTGCCTACAGTGAGTATCACAAGAATCTCCTCACAGAAAACATATCAAGTGGTCACCTCATCAGTGACCAAACATCTCTCGTGTTTCTTCCCAACCAGGGATGACGGTGGAGGTCCTGGGCACCGTGCTGGGCACAGCCATCCAGGGTCAGATAGTGGGCATGGCCAATGCGCCCTGCCTCCCTGGACCTGCTGAAATCGCTGCTGCACTGAACAACTCCACTAAGTCTGTTGCACTCAATGACTCGGGGCCTGTCATTTCCCTGGAGCACACGGTAAACAGGCTTATAGCAACTGTTCAAACAGTGTGAACTGAAGATGAGGGCTTTAGTAAAGGTTGTGATACAAATTGTGTTCTCCCTTTCGTTCTTCCTGTACAGAAAGCGGCTTACATGATTGCCTCTGGTGTCATCTGCGCCATCTACGTCCTCTGCGCTATCGTTCTTTTCTTCGGTGTGAGAGAGAAAAAAGGTAGAGCATTAATCCCTCATTTAAACTGGCTTTATGCTTCAATTTAGATGCCTGTAATTGCTCATTAAAGCCTTAAATCAAAGCTAAAAATGAAGGACCACACCTTTTCTTGCCTTTTAATTTCATATACCAGGTCATTGTATTCAGTCGTGAGCCCTAATCGCATGATTTTTCACAAATAACAGTCCTGAAAGTATGGAGTGACTCAACTTTATTGATTAGATGCAGATGAAGACACTTCATGTGACAGAGCTGCTCCAATACGGATTCACAATTACATCTCATGCTTTGGGCTGACGGGCTGCGTGAAAGCACTCAGGCTCTGGTTAATTTACAAGCCTCGTGACCAGCGAGGGGACTGATAAGACACATTTGTCCAGTACAAGCTGAGCCTGAGAGGCGGCTGCTCACGTCACATGAACTGTAAACCTGTGCTAAAGGATTGTTAAGAGCTAAATATGACAGTGAAAGCTATTTTTCATCTTTGTTAATTCTTTTTTTCCCTCCTTGCAGATTCTTGTCGTCCCAGGTCAGAGCCCATGTCTTTCTTCCAGGGAATTAGGTTGGTGATGGGGCACGGGCCGTACGCCAAGCTGGTCATGGTCTTCCTCTTCACCTCATTGGGTTTCATGGTGTGTTTAGAGACATACACATTTTTCTTATGAATTTGATATATCTTTTTCAATCATGTCTTTTCGTCTCACTTGACTCTGCATCTGTGGGATGTTTGTTTTCTTTCTATTTATTTTACTGGTTCTTCTGATTTTCAATGTTTTGAGTGTTCAGCTTGTTTGCGCGGCGAGCCGCAGTTTACAGGGTGCCTGCGAGGTCAGCCCAATATGTGTGTGTTTCGACATTACATTTTGTTTGTGTGTTTATTCCTACAGCTCTTGGAAGGAAACTTCGCTCTCTTCTGCAGCTCCACCCTTGGCTTCAGAAACGACTTCCAGAATATTTTGCTGGTCATCATGGTGAGTGAACACACACACACACACACACACACACACACACACACACACACACACACACATGAATTCAGACGACTCCACTCTTACTTAATATGTCTTTACCTTAAAATGTAATGATTTACATTATGGGGGGCTTGATTCGCCATGAATTTACTGTGTAAGGGATTTAGGTCCCTCCATGAGTAATACCTGGACCACATACACACACACAGACGCCGGTGGCATTTCCAGACAATTGCTAGTTGCAACGTTACCATAGCGATTACTGCATTCCCCTCCTCATTCTGAAACCTAACAGCCTCCGCGTTTGTGTGGAATACATGAATCCATTAGCTCCAGAGTGCAGACAAAAGCTTTGACTCCCAGGATCATCACATAAATCGTCTTCAGTTACAAAGCCACTCTGGACTTGGGTTAGACAGCGGCGTCTCCTGGCGGCCCATTTCCATGATGTGTGTCCACTCTGCCTGAATGGCAGCCCTTTCCCACAGACAGTAGAAGAGCCACACTGGCTTCTCCTTTAATGACATGTCCTCCAAAGAGAAATTTCACACGCGAAAGCATCAGTCAGCCTTTAGTCCCTGACAGGTTTTATACCCAATTAATCTAAAGATGTGCCGACTGTAGCACGCCCAGCTTGACTGTGCAGGGTGAGAAGGTACAGGTTAGAGAGGCCGAAAAGATTACACATTTTGATCCTTTACTTTATGGAAAGGATTATGGAGCCAAGCTAGTGACCTTTTTTATTTAAGTACAGTTATTAAGTGAAATTACCTTTCAGAGGCTTCACCACGGAGCTTTCAGAGAAGCTGCACCTTTATGAAGTTACTCTTGATCAGCACTAAGAGAATCTAATCCTCACCTTCACTAATATGACAAGACTGGCGGACTAATCTGAGAAGCCGGGCTCTTATTAGTGCAAAGATAAATTCAAACTAACAGGTGTTATACAAGAGGACGGTAAAGGTCAAATCTAATGAAACATTGTGTGAGAGAGAATCAGGAGTTCATCAAATGGTGCCAAACAAAAAGAGCCTTGTGTGTTCACTTTTTGTCAGTGTGAGGCAGTGAGCATGCCACAATTCACATTGTTCCCCGGCCTCGATGCTGCACGACAAATTAGTGCATTTTCAAGAGCTGGACGGTGGTTACACCAGAGGAGAGGCAAAGTATGTCGTGCTGCAGGGTTTCATTTGGAAGGAAAACACTGAGGTTTGCTCTATGAGGCCCAATTATAAGATAAAGGCCAATTAATGGATAATGACGGCATTGATTCATGAGGGAGAGGCTGATGAAGCTCATAATGGTGACTGCACGGAAGTGGCAGACTCGGCTCAAGTGCGCAAATGCAACACAAAAATGAAAAGACAGTCTTGAACTTTCAAATAGAAAGGAAATTAAGTTTTTAATTTTTCCAGAGTTTGCCTTTTCCACAGGAAAGACGTGTGGCACTGCTTTTTTATCCTGAGACTCTCACTTGGACATTTGCTTTCTCACATCCAGCCCCTGTATGTGCATGTGTGAAAGCATAAAACAGACTCGTATGACTGTGCAGTGAGACAGAAGAGATGTGTGGGAAGTTTATCTCTCAGCTAAGCATCTCACTTGTGTCCATCAGAAAAGATGGTGGAAAACACAGAGTTTCACACAGGCCTTGTTATCTCTCCCTTATTCAAACACTGTGGGGATCAGAGGTCATACTGATCTGACCGAGCCCTCTGCCTGCTCCCAGAGAGTCGATAGGATGACCCCTGTGAAGTGTTGCATCACATCGGGCTCAGGTTTTGTTTTTGGAAGAGCCGGAGAAGCCGTATTCTCTTCCGCTGTTGTGTTTGGCAGGTGTAGGGGGGGTCAGAGGTGCTTCAAGGTCTGAAGCTGAAGCATTTTAAGAATTCACCTAATTCCTGTTCATTTACTTGTATTTAACGTGACACACGGCATCATCCAGACTTTTTTCTCCTAAATCATGTTAGTCTCTAATAAACTGCCCAATGTGGAATTTATGTGTGTGTAAAAACAAAATAGCTGGTTAACCTGAATTTGAATGTTTTTCTTCTCCCCCACAGCTTTCCGCTACTCTGGCCATCCCCTTCTGGCAGTGGTTCCTCACTCGCTTCGGGAAAAAGACGGCGGTTTATGTTGGCTCCTTGGTAAGAGCCACAATTCCTTCCAGAAACCACTTCTAAGTCAAATTAAGTCCATGTGATTGACAGGAATATAGTGTTATCCTAGTTTCTGTAAGAAAACTGCTCAAGAGTCTTAAGAGACTTGTTTTATGGAGTAAACCTGTGAAGGGCAGCTGATCTGCTGTGCTTTCTTGGTCTCATATATTTATCGTCTTTCCAGTCTGTGGTTCCCTTCATGATCCTGGTGGTGTGTCTGAAGAGCAACCTGATCGTCACCTACATCGTCTCCTTCGCTGCTGGGGTCGGAGTGGCCGCAGCCTTCTTGTTGCCCTGGTAAGAACATTGCTGTTGCCTGGTTTTGCTTTAAACGTGCAGGACCATCGAGTTTGTATAGCGGCTCACAGACATGCAACCTCCAGACATTTTCTGGAGGGGCTGTAAGTGAGAGCGCAAATGTCTGGCCAGCCCCCTTGTAAAAACTCGATGAGAGAGCTCAGCAGGAATGTGGACACTCTCCAGAGTTCATATCTGAAAACAGCTTATGTGTGAAACCATTGCTGACTCTTGACTCTGTATCTCTCAGGTCCATGCTGCCCGACGTTGTTGATGATTTCCAAGTGCAGAACCCGAACTCCACCGGCCACGAAGCTCTCTTTTACTCCTTCTATGTCTTCTTCACTAAGTTTGCCTCTGGCGTCTCCCTGGGCATTTCCACTCTCAGTTTAGAGTAAGTACTCACATGATCGAACACACACATAACCTATATTCTAAATGTGTTGTAGGGGCTTTATCCCATAGACAGAAAAAAAGTCAAAATGAGGCTAAGCCAAATCTCCCAGCACCCAAATCCCTCTTCAAAGTGAGGAATTCCTTTAACTGTTCTGTTAAGTACAGTAAATGAGTGTACACGTCTCACACAACTGACTTTACAGCAGTGCCACTTTTTATATCTGTGATTAGATGGGAAACTTACCTTCATTAAAGATCTATGCTCTCCTAAAAATGTATGACAATCTTTTACTATAGAACATGAACACATTGAGTTTCATTGTGATGCTTGTGTTTTCAGTTTCTTGATTCTGTTTCATCTCTTTAGTTTTGCAGGCTACATCAGCAGAGGCTGCTCTCAACCAGAGGAGGTGCACATAACCTTGAAGGTGCTGGTTTCCGCCGCGCCCGTCGCTCTCATCATTGTTGGCCTGTCCATTTTGTACTTTTATCCAATTGATGAGGAGAGAAGACAGGGCAACCGCAAACTGCTCCAGGAACAGAGGTAAGACTGGGCCTAAATCCTCTTTCTCTTTTGCGTTCATGCATCTGAGAAGCAAATGTCCAACTGAAGATGCTCTTGATTTCTTGCAGGGACAACGAGACAGATTCAGACACAGAGACGACAGAGACGACAGAGCTAACCAAAATGGCGTAGGATGACCCGTGGACCAATCGGGTGATCAACTTGGCACTTTGCACTGGACAGGACATGCGGACCTGTCGGCCTTCTCGCATCACACAGACACCACTCTATCCAATCACACTGCTGCTGTTCCACGTCTCCAGAAATGTGTGTTTTTCAAAAGAATCGCTTCGAACCACGCTGCGGACTCTAAGAACAAACACACCTGCCACATCTGGGACATTTTCCTGCCATGAAATTCATTTCCTCTTTGATTCCGGATCTCATAAAGACTTAGGTTTTGTATCACATACAATTTCTGATTACTGGACAAAAACTTAATTTTTTCTGGGATCCTTGTTTTGTCAGAGTTACCATTACTGGTGCTACTCGCTGGAACTGAACATTTACAATCTTCTTACAACCAACAAAAATGGCCTTGAGCGCTGAGCTACAAACACCTTTATAGTTCAGAGACGTAACCGTCGAAGGAAACTTGAACAAAGCGAAAACGCCTTAATTTCAGATCTGTTTTGGGTTTGAACATTCAAAACGGAGACTTGTGTCGGTCACTCGCTCCTGAGTCATTAGCTTGACTTGCTGTGTCTTCTGAACGTTTTGTAATTTTGCAGTTTCTCCTGATCGTCAGCCAGTTTCCATCTCATTCCCATCACACAGTTTTTTTTTAAAACCTTTTTTTACTTAAATAAGCTGTAATAATGTGATGTTGGAACCAGTGGCCAGACAGTAACAGCTGTGGTCTCATTGTAGTTCATTAAACTAAAACCACTACACAAGTAAATTTTACTTTGCAAACGTAACTGCAATTATTCTCCAGCAATTGAATTATTTACTTTTTATTTATAAGTGAGCTACTGAAGAAAGGAAAAGCTTTTCTCTAAATGCTTTCACTTCCTTAATGTTAAGCCAAACAAAAGGTGACTACAGCCGCTACTACTTTAGTCATATTATTTAAATATTTATTAGTTTGGATGTTACTGTTGATGAATGCATGTTAGCTGCAAAGTCATGCTTCCTGCAGTATTTAAATCTACTTAAAGCCTGTGAGGTTGGTTTTCCAACTGAATTTATAGAAGATGAGGAAGATGAGGAAAAAACATTCACGCCATTGCTACTGTCTTTGCTCCATATGCGTCTGAAAAAGGGAAGCGTATTATTGTGGAAAAAGGATGGGAAGGTGTGGATGTGAACTTGTTGTAGTCTACCTTTTCTTTTTCTTTGAATTTTTCTTTTTTCTTTGTAAATATTGTACATGTTTTACGCAACAACCCGGGATTTTTTGTGATCATCACAATCCCAGTAATTCAGATGAGTTCAATATTTATATTTGTTGATATGAAAATGTGTATAGGCGTTCTCATTTGTTATCCATACTCTCATATTCCACATGTTTCTGACAACTGAGTTGCCCATGTGAAGTTGTTAGTCTATCAATTACAATTTTTTTTCTCACCAGTTGATCCTTATATCCTTATTGGTGGATATGGTTTGCGACAACACAGTGCCATGTTCACCCCAAAACCCCATTTAACTGTATATCATGTAAATGTCATCCTGTTTCATTTTTACCATGTTTCTTGTCGTTTAAAGCTCCGCCTGTGAACTTCCCTCATGACTCTTGAGGCTGTAGCCAAATGTGCGAGCTTTAACCCTACGGGGACACACAGAAGCCTTGTGTACGTGCCTCCTGTGTATATGTAGATATTGTATGTAAACCTGTAAATATCTTTGATATATGTGGCTGCAAGTGAAATGAACGTTGCACATTGTACTGTCGTAATTTAAGGAAAAGATGTTGAGACTGGAAAAAAGGAGTTAATAAATACTAACTGATGAAGTGTACAATGAAGGAGATGCCGGCATGTCTTTGCTACAAACTGAGGGGGAGATTTTAATTCCTGCACTCTTACATTACACAATGTGTCTGACAGTTTTGTACACACCCTGTGTAGGACATCCAAAAATGCCCTTCAGAAATATCTGGAACAGCTAATGTGAGCAGGAGTAAAATTAAAATCACCGGTAGGCAAAAATAACTTAAATGCAGAAAATTAAGGGAAAAAATGCAGATCTAGCACATTTATCAAACACGGTGTGATGTGAAGAAATGATAAATATTCATACGATTCACTGTCAGTAGCTTTTCAGTTGAACTATATACAGTAGTTGGTCCAGTTCAATGCTTATAATGGATGTTATTCATTGTACACTACTGACATCTAGTGATCTGTTTTTTGACTTAAAAAAAACTATATTGACCATTT